CAGCCCACGTGGGCCGCATGCAGCCCACGTGGGCCGCATGTTGTGCAGGCCTGATCTAGAGCTTCCTAGCTTGCAGAATCAATTGGTAATAAAATAGACCCCACCACCACCCAATAGGATATGAAAGATGCTTATCTTTATTTTTAAAAGGGAGGTATGGGAAAATTTGTATGTTTGTAGAAGTAGTATCAGAAATTTCCATAACTCATCCAGTCAATATGGAAACATTGTTTAATTAAGTGACTGCTATACTCTTCTTTCCACTGCTCAGTACCAACAAGGAAGATAACTTTTTTTGTTTGTTTGTTAATACACCTCTACCTCGATATAATGCAACCCGATATAACGCAGTAAAGCAGTGCTCTGGGGGGGCAGCAGGGCTGCGCACTCTGGTGGATCAAAACAAGTTCAATATAATGTGGTTTCACCTATAATGCGGTAAGATTTTTGGTTCCCAAAGACAGCGTTATATCGAGGTAGAGGTGTACTATGACCGATCTACTGCTGCATCCCTTATTAGCTAGTGGCAGAGCTGGATTTTCTGGCTGGGCAGTTTTGTTTACATTTTATTCAAGTTTTTGAACTTGAGTTTATTCTGTGAAACTTTTGAATTATCATACCTACCTTTATAGATACTGTGAAATCAAATCACCACATCAAGGATAGCGATTGTAAATGAGCAAAGAATATTTTGTTCTGTTTGAATAAACATAGATGTTTATATTGCAGGTCAGGGATTCTGAAGCCAGGCCTGATATAATAGTTAAAGAGCTTTCTCAAGAAGGTGAGTAGTTCAAGTAGCCCATCTTATTAGGGATCTAAAATTGGTAATAGTCAGCAGAGTACTGGGCAAAATGTGACTTTCTGTCTTGAGTTCATTGTATGTAATTATGGGACATCTGAATGAGACAATAATAGATATTAATTTGTTTAAATGTTTACAAACATTTTGTTCTGCTTACTGTATTAGCACTTGCAAACTGCAGATTGTTTGCTGCATTTTAATTATTTTTGTACTTCTAAGAAATTGCTTTAAAAACAAAACACCCTCCGCCCCCCCCCTACACATTTCATAGCAATTACCGTATATACTCTTTCATAAGCTGAATTTTTTTTAGTAAAAGAGGGAAGCAGAGATGGAGGTCGGCTTATGAACAGGTATAGAGAGGGAGAGCTGGGACACAGCCTCTCCCCCCCAACAGAGGGAGCAAGGAGAGGCAGCACAGCCAGCAGAGACAGAAGGGAAGAGGCTGGG